TTTCTTCACTTGCACTTCTTGCTTCCCAGCCTACTTTGATCTTCAAAAATTTAAATGCAATGTCAATTATTATCTACTGTCTTCTTGATTTCTCTTCTTTTATTCTTCTCTTTCCTTAATAATGTTTCTCATTTTTCTTATTCTTTCACACTTAGTAACCCCTTATGTAACAGTGGCTTTACTCCTTTGCCTGGGGTGAAATGATTAAAAATAACAGATTTGATTCTGATTGGCTGAAGGAAGTTGGATATAAACATTTTGAATATATTTTGGAACATGATGAATATAAATATTTTGAATGTCTGATCCCTCTGATGTGTGATGAGTTCTGTCCAGGTAACATCAACAAGATACAAACATTTGGACTTTGGACAACAAAATAAAATCATGCTTTCTTATGTTAATTTTATTCTTTGTTCTTTAAGTGTCAGTGACTGAGATTTTGTCATTTAGATTTTATTAAAAAAAAACTTGGCTTCAATCACTTTCCCATTATTCACTGATGATCTGAAAGGTTATTGATCCTGACCTGTATAAATCAGTATCCATTTCTTGACACCCCTTCCAGGATCCAGTGACAAGTTTAAACCCAGAATTGCTGGTGGAGGATCAGTTGCTTGGATATCCAGACTAAGCTTTAATGGGATTGTCTTATCTTGCTTTAAAGCACATGAACACCCAACCAATTTGAATACAGTGTTTTCCTTTACTTAGACTGGCTACCAACCATGGTTAGAAACCTGTCTACCTTGCCATTTACACTATAGCTGAAATAGAGATATGCATGCCTCTCCTACAGGCATTACAAGAGTACAAGTGAATGGAACTGGCCTAGCTGGAATTTGAACTCAACTTTTTACTTTCTGTGCTGATGACATATAAACTTCACATACATACATTAAATAAATAAAGATAAGCTATTATTAAAACATCATGTAAAGTAAAGATTATCATATTTAAATGATCATCAAATATTTATTAAAGAGCAGAAAATATATCTATAATCAATAAAAAAAAATGTCACTGAACAAAAAGTAATCATTTCCTTGTAAATGTCAAGTACACATGTTAAATGTCTTTTGTGTTGTGCAAATGATTTCTTCTTTTCCCTGTATCTTGTAAGCTGCTCCTCCCCAAAAATGAATGTTTTGTTTTGTTTTTTTTTTAATTGTGACTTATATAAACTTTCTAAATTACTTTTTTTTATATACATAAAATCACAAGGAAAGAGTTTTGAAAAGCAGAAATGCTTCTATGCAAAAAGGCTTTGTTTTTACAGTAATGGAACTTATTTACCTTAACCAAGTCTGACACAAGTTCAAATCAATGGAAATGGCTCTAAAAAGATTGTGTAGCACTCATGTTTAAGTTGGAAGAAACCTGCCTTGAAAGTCAGCATTCAGAACTCTGGCTTTATAGCCAGGCCTAAACACTGACACTTACAAAAATAGACAATTATCTCAGCCACAAACAAAAATTCATACAATGTTTAGAAAGAAGAGTTGATTGTTTGTTTTTGTTTAGTGGCATATCAAGCTCTATTGGTTATTTTAATACCAAAATCTAATTATTTTATACTCTATTTTATTTTTGGAAATAATAATAGGTTAGTGATAAAAGTCTTACTAATTAACCCATAGATGGGTGGGGAGAAGAGGTGGATTCCCAAGGGCATTTGAGCATAAGTGAATATAACAAAACCTGACTGGAATTAGAACTTGATTCTATGATTATAAATTCCAAGCCATTACTCATGACACCACCCACAAATCTAAGCTTACAGCACCTGGTATTCATAAGCAGTTACCCTTCTAGGTACTGACCAGACTCAATATTGCTTAACTTCATTGTTTATACAGGAAGTAATCTTTTTTGATGATGTGGCCATAAGCCAGAAAAAAGAGGGATTTTTTTTAGTTTGTTTTAATAAATACTGAACACAGCAATTTTTTATCATTTTACTCAAGCAAGGCAATAAAGCCACTAAGATGCAAGCAGTTACTGAGTGCATGAGAATATGAAAAAAAGAAAACATTATTAAGGTGAGAGAAAAATAACAGAACAAGAATTAAAAAGACAGAGGATTGACATTGCATTTAAATTTTTCAAGATCAAAATTGACTGGAAAACAATATGTCAGGAGAGAGTTCCACCAGTGAGAAGTGTAAGAGAAGAAATTGTAAGTATTGAACTTAGGTTTCATCTAGCCACTTCAACAGTAAAATGATGAGACCTAGCTGCCAATCTAGTACTGCACTTAAATTCATAAAATCTAGGTACCAAAAAGGAAAGCTCATCAGAAAAATTACCATGAAAATATTTATAGATCAATTACAGAGAAACTGTGTCCCGCTGGTGCGAAAGTGATTAAAAGCAAAGTCAGGACCAATAATATTGCAGATTCTTCTTTGTAATTTATCAAGAAACTTTAACTATGTAACAGAAGCACTGGACCAGATCTGGCAGCAATATTCAGTTTCATGGATGAATGTTAAAATAAAACATTCTAAGATGGCTATGCATTCAAATAGGCTGGAAAATTTTTTATGTGAGATTCACTGTTATATTTTTATGACTTAAAACTATATCATGTGACCTTTGAAGACCTGATTTTGAAGCTAATTTGTCTACAGTAAATGGATATATATTGGTCAGTGGCATGGTATGAGATAACAGTTCTTTATAAAGCCAGATAATTTTGCATGTGTTTAATGTCTCTTATGTATATTGTTATTTTATCATAATTGGCACACAGAAGAAATAATATCATTTCTTATTTAATTCTGTTAAGCATCTTTTTATCTTCTTCTATATGATGTGTCTCGTCAGGTTGTGGCTGATCATGGTGGTGATAATATTAATCATTTCCCTACAAGGAAACATTTGGTATTCTTTAACCAAGCAGCCAGTACAATCAATCTTTTAAAAATAATTTTTCAAGAAAATACATTATTCAAGTTGAGTAGCTACTATTGCTCTTTCCAGTGTTGACAGGGGTTTCCTTCCTAACCTTTTATTTGAAGTAGTGTGGAATATTAACATCTTAATTATGTCAATATTCTTTTTTAGTTATATGTGCAATCCATTTTAGTTCTTGCTCCTCAAGTGCTGATAGTCCTGAAGTGATCTGGTTTCTGTTATTTGATGCAGTTCTTTGTTTGTGAACCTATAGTACCATTCCACAAGGTTTAAAGAAGGCTAGTCTTTGCCAAGATCCTCAGGCTTCACTTGTTCAAAGCCTTTGATAACCATTGATTTCAGCTGACAATTTAGTTATTTCTAAATGGGTTTGGTACCATGCATGATATCCATATAAAAAGTTTTGATCTGACAAGTCTATTTAAGAATATGGTTATCCACAACTTACTATCCCTTGTAGCTCTTAGTAACAATTTTTTTAATCATTTCACCGCAAGGAAGACAATAAAGTCACTAAAATGCAAGGTGTTACTCTGTGTGAGAGAATATGAAAAAAAGAAAACATTATTAAGGAGAAAGAAAATGTGACCTTTTGTCTTTTCACTATTCTTCCCACTTTTTGTTCTGCCATCCATTTGCACAAGCTTGTTAGGCATGTTAATTAATGTTTCTCTTTGCTCTTCTTGCCTTCAGTCTGTGCTATGAGTGTAAAATTTTCCCAAGTCCTTTTTCTAACTATAAGTGTCCTTTTTGTTTCCATTATCCTTAAAACATTCCTAGTTACTCACCTATTCAGTCTATGGTATTCTCAGCATCCTACTGTAGAACCACATCTCTGTTGCCTTGAATCTCTTCATCTGTTAGGAGATTTTCCAACATTCACTGCCATATAAGAGGACTGGCATTACATTTCAGTTCAGCACTCTTTTCTTTGTTTCTAACAAAATTTCCCTGTTTCTCAATACTTTGCTTGGCTTTTGGAAGGCACTTTCACTATCCCATTGCACCTTCAAATTTCAGTGTCACATCTTCATTCCTCTGTTTATACACTTAAAAAAAATGATTCTATCCCAAAGAAACTTTAATGAATTCCCCAAAGAAAGTTGACTTCTCTCATTTCAAATTAACTTCCCATCTAATATTTTTTTTGTTTATTTCTTTTCTAATGCTCAATTTTTTTTCTTTCCTCATCTTTAATTTAACTATGTTCTTTCTGTTCAATTACATTCTAAGTCATGTTTTACAGTTTCATGCTCATTGGATGGGAGAAATTAAATCAGTGTGCCGAGTTCAAATCTTTTCCTTGTCTATTGCATTTACTTGTACAGATGACCTTGGGATTGGTATTACTCTATTTCATATCCCCAACCCACCCAGCTATTGGTTAAATAGGGCTTTCTTGCATTGAACAGCCATCAGTCTAGAAATGCAATGTCCATCATCCTCACCCCGTTTTTTTTTATTGTCCTCTCTCCTTAATAATGACTTTTTCAGATTCTTTCACTATCAATGACCCCACCCTTGCATCTTAGTGGCTTTATCATCTTGCTTGGGTAAAATGACTAACAAAAAATAGGTTACTATATATACTTGCGTATCATGCAACTTTTGAAGACCTAATTTTGAAGCTAATTTTAAGAGGGTTGCATACATCATAAAATTAGCCTATGTACTGCTACCCCATTGACCAAACTATATATCTGATTCTTTTTTCTTTAATGTACTTCTTGACAGAAGGACACTTTCTAATTTTTTTTTTTTTTTTTGCTGTAAGTTTGATACATTTATGACAAAATTGTTCAGGACTCCCTGCCATATATGAGTGTATAGTTTCTTTGCAGTTCCTTAAAACGTTCTCATTTGTCATATACTCTGTCCATAGTCTTCTTAACAATTCAAGTTTTTCTTCATTTGTGATTAAATTATTCAGATTTCAGTGGCATATAGAAGTGTAAACACTGCATAGCAGTACAGTACCTTTTTTTCTGATATTTTACCATATAATATTTAATTATAATTCTCAGTTTATTAATCAAAAATTGGCTGTATAAAAATTGATGATTTTTCTCTTTCATATACAGTTTGATGATGAGCCAAGATATGTTGACAGCTGCTTCAACCGAACACTCGTAGCTGCTAACTTGGATAACAGATTACGATTAAAAAAGGCCATAAAATATAATGAAACATCCAACATAGCAAACTTCGAGAAAGCACTCAAAGAAGCCTTCATGTTATTTTCAGATGTAAGTATTGCTTTATTTATATTTCAGTCTTGTAGATGACAAAATAATTCTGTATTTTGTGATGGAACTGTTTTAGTCTAAAAGGAAGACATACAAAAAATGGCTTGAAATTTATTAAGAATTTTTTTTCCTTTTTAAATATATTCAAGTTTTTCTTTAGCCAGTTTAACACTTTCACTAAGTTCAAATCTGAATAGTGTGCTTAATTTTTTTTTTTCCCACTATTAATATGGTTAAGATGGAAAAGAATTTGGGGGGATTTTTAGAGAATAGACTTTTGCTTAATACTTTCACTTAGTTAAAACTTTTTTTCTCTTTAGTCGGATTTTTAACAACTAAACTTGCTCCCCTTCCCAACACCATTGGGTACAAGAACAGTGGTTAGCAACTTTGCAGCATGAAAATTAAGACCTTATCAAAGAGTGGAAGAAACCTTGTTGTGTCAATGGCCAGCTGATTAAAATTGTCGCTTAATAAAATCACTGTAAAGAAAGCAACAGTAAACCACTTCACTCTCATTCCCAAGAAGAATCATGGCAATACACAATGAAAGAGTCTATGTTACAAGCCATTATTTACAGATCTATATTTATTTTCTCTTGCTAAGGGGGAGGCAGGTTCAAATCCTGCTGGAGTGTGCATCTTTTCTTTAATGAGATTTTTTAATATTCAAGCCAGTAGAAGAAAATAAATATACTGTTTAATAAATAAACAGAGCATCTACTTAAATATGGGTATCCACAAAAAATAACATTTAAGTGATAAAATCTGGCAGATTTATGAATAAAAAAATCCATTTTACATATATATGATAAAAATATAGTTTTAAGGTATGCTATATTTATGGGTTAAAATGCTCAATATCAGGGATAGAGCACATGTAAATATAAAAGTGGACATTGAGGTCAGCACCCAGCATTGACAGTCTGTTTCATGCTTAGACACAGTGTTCAAGACATGCTTAAAAGCAATCTTTGGCCAAATGGACTGAAATGAAAATTGCTTTTAAGCATGAAACCGACAGTCGCCACTTGGGATTGACCCAAATGTCCATTTTATTTTTATATATATATATATATAAAAGTGAACATAAAGTCAACACTTATAGGTGACAGTCTGTTTCATGCTGATTGCAATAGTGAAACAGACTGTTGCATATAAGTGTTGACTTCTATTTTCACCTTTATATTTACACGCTCTATCTCTGATATCGGGCACTTTATCCCATAAATATAGCACACTTTTAAGACTATATTTTTCTTATATATATATATATATATATATATAGTTGTATATTTAGGCAGCAATCGTTCCTTTATGCATGTTTCATTAAAAACAACAGACACGGTACTACGGTTAAGCTTTTTATTAAATTTTTCTTGTGTTCTAACAAGAGCTTTCTTATCTGGACAAAGGGTGGGTAAGAACTGTCCAAATGTTTTATATTTCCGAGTGCTTTTGGCTATACCGTTAGCCATTATCAAGGATTATTCGATTTTTCAGCTTAATTGAGTGTGTGCATTCTGTGTATGTCTTAGTGTGTGGTAGGGATGTTTTTAATTTCCAAATACAGTTAGCACATTGTGGTTTTGTTCGTAGTTAATATTGTTAAGAGTTGGTTTCTTTTTTTTATTATTAAAGCTTCCATTATTTTTAGTCTTTTTTTTTGCAGGTAGATGCAGTTAATATATTTGTGTTTTCTACTAGTATGTTCCTAATGGAGTCTGGTAAATTTGTGTGTGTGTTTAAATGGGTTCTAATGGAGCTGTGATCAGATAGGTGTAACGTAAGACGTGTGGATAAGCATGTAGTTGTGTAACCGATGTAATTATTTGTTTTTAATGAAACATGCATATATATATATATATATATATATATATGACTTCAAAATGTCTAGAGGTTGAGGTCTGGAGTGAACTTGAGACCCAATAGGCATTCAAAACATTGAGAATAAACTGTTGATCATGACTGAAGAAAATTCTGGGTCTGATTGATAGTTATAAAATGATACTATCTTGATTTTGGAGGGTATTGAATGTTACAAATCAGTTTTTTCTGCATTGAGCTGTTAGGCCAGAAGAGAGATTGATGCAAAGCTCCCAAAATACATGACAGATCAGTTTATTTTTTTTTTATTTTGCTTTGTTTCTTTCTTTAAGAGGATAAATAATTTGTCTAAAGTGTGTGAGTTGTAATTTGTTTCTATGTAAAGCATTATTTTCCTGGCTGCCTGTATTTGAATGCAAAGTGCTGATTCCTACATTATAAACTATTCTTATGTACTGTAAGTAGGATAAATGTCATTCTGCAATATGTTTCAAGATAGCAGTACCAAAAATTATGAAAAGAAAAATAGCCATACACACAAATATATATATATATATATATATATATATATATATATATATATATATATATACACACACAACATTGAACATTAAAATTGAAGATTAAGACATCATTACACATATATATATATATATATATATATATATATATATATATATATATATATATATGTTATGGTTATTTACCCATGCACACATGGACTCTCCCAGCTATAAATAGGAGCAGGTACTACCTTTTGGAGAGTGAAGTTTCCAGCAGTCAGCTCTGACAGACCGAACATTCTTGCTGTCACACTCTCATCTGTATATGTTTGTATTACTGTTTCTGTTAATACATTTGTTTAACTCAATTCCTCTCTTGTGTCGTTATTTCTAGCCCTAACAAGGCCACAACAATATATATATAGGGTGCAGCAAAAATACCCCCACATTATGGCAAGACATTAGCTAGATGAACACACCATTGCTTCTAATGTCTTACCATTAAGTGGGATGTTTTTCTACTGCACCCTATATATATATATATATATATATATATATATAAGCATTTCACCCCAGGTAAGGCTAGAGTGCCACTGGTTCACAGGGCACTACATAGAGTGAAGGTGAGAGAAAAAACCTGTGTATTGGGGGAATGAGGAAAGAATAAAGATGAACAAGGTTCAATACATCAGAAGATGGCAATTGATGTTGCATTTAAATTTTTGAAGATTGCAGTTATCAGGGAAGCAAGTAAATGGAAGTGAGTTCCACAGGCAGGAAGTGTGAGAAAAGAATCTGTTGGAGTAGAAGTGGCAGTTACATTTAACTATTTTACACACACACACACACACACACACATATATAATTGTATAATGTATAAGTCTACTTATTTTTATCTCAAGTTTGTCTTGGATGATAATTTTTTATGATGCATTTTATTTGGAGAAACACATTACTTAAACTGGGATAAGCTTTAGCTGGAAATTATATTTCTTCAAGCAGTCTCATTGGCTATCAATCCAACAGATATCATGGCTACAGTATTTCTTGATTTCCATTGCTTCTTATTACAACCTTCAAACTGTCATTTTACAGCCATCAGTAAACAGAATGGATTAGAAAATGAAGCTAACTCCTCAGAGGTTTACAATAAAAAGCAAGTATGTTTTAGATGAACAAATACAAGTTGAATAATTAATAATCATTTTTGAAGGTGCTTTAAACTTCATTAACTTAAAAATAATTATCATTTTTCTTTTTTATTGTTTTTCTTTTCATTTTCTATAATTCAGTCAGATTAAAAATACTTTTGAACACAAACAAACCAAAACATTTTAATTAGACAATATACATTTTATATACACTCACTCAATGAATTTTTACAATTTTTATCTCATTCATTTTGATTAAAGTTGCTTTTGAACACAAAACAAAAATAGCTATATTAAACAATATACATTTTTATACAGTCAATCAAAGAATTTTGGTACATTTTAATATTTATAATGATTATAATTATAGTATAAAATTATTTCCTAAGAACAACAGCTGTTCACTGTGAAATAAAACAAATTATACACAAGATACAAAACTAAGAAAATTAGATAAAAAAATAAAATCTTCTATTTTTTATAATCTAATAATTATTCTGGATATGTAGATTGCCTCATTGTTAACAGCACACAAAATGAAGCCAGGGAGCAGAGATCAAATTCTTGCTAAAATAGTTACTGTTCATGTTTCTTTGAGTAAGAAATAAATTCATCTTTTATCTCCACATCAATAAAATGGCTAAATAGCAAAGCATTTCACCTTATTGGCAACCAACCTAGGAGAATGACAACTTCAAATTTGAGATTGGAAAAAACTTTTGAAAAACCTAATAATAATTGACAAGACTTCATCTTAGAAATTCAAAAAAGATTGCATTTAATTTTTACTGATTATTACACATATAAATTGAAATTTGTTAAAAAAAATTTTGTCTTCTTAAATTACAAACCAAGTTATCATTTAAATGTATTCTATACATTGACCCACTTTAGACAAAATAAAACCCATTTTTGTAAAATATTATTACTGAAACACAATATTCCAACTAAGATGAAACCAAAATTAGAATTTAGTCAGCTTATAATTTACATATAAAGATGAAATTTCTATGTAATTTCAAACTTACTGCAAATTATCATATTAAAAAGTTTCATTTTTCTAACATTTATAATAATTAACTTATTTAAATTTTAATACCTTTTAAATAACACACTTAGAAATTATTTTTTTTTTGTAAACAATTATGTGATAAGCTATGTGACTATATGGATTAAAATATCTATTTCAGCTCCTTCTTTAACCATTTTCAAAGGGTTTGTTGTTAATTGTGGTCACTTCTTTTCATGGTTGTCTTTGTATTTCTATTTTTTTTTTTTATATATATATATATATATAATAAAAAATAATATTATTAAAAGACAACCATGTGAAAATTTCTTGGACATTCAGGCCGGTAAATGTTGTTTAATACTGTTTATTATAAACAGAGCATTTAATTAAATATTTGTATCTATAAAAAGACATCAAAATGTCTTAAAATAATTGTCGAACTTTGTCCATTTCATAATAAATATATATATATATATATATATATATATATATATATAGAATGTATATTTCAGCATCAACCTTTTTTTCAAGCATATTTGTTGAATATGACAGCCAAAGAAAATTTGATGAATTTTTTAATTAAGTTTATGTAATTCATATTGTACAATAGTAGCATTTATTCTAAGCAACCTCCCCAAAATGGAGACAATGTGCTCAAGGTTTTTAAAATAGGACACCAACTTGAATTCCAGCCAAGTTCCTTTCACAGGGTGAGGGTGCTCAGAATGAACGCTATCATACAATATGCATCACACAATTACATCTTAAAAGAAATCATGAAAAGAAATCAGCAACAAGTGGCCTAAAGCAACTGGAACAGTAAACACTAGGACAATTTTTACACACCACCAAATAGAATAATTTAAGAATACTACATAATTAAAAAATTCATCAAATTTTCTTTGGCTGTCATATTCAAACAAATATGCCAAAATATACTTTTTATATATATATATATATATATATATATATATATATATATATGTATTTGATGTGACATTTTTTATTTTTAACGTTGTTATTTTAGATACAAGTATTTAAGCAAATGCTCTGTTTATGATAAATAGTATTAAATAACATTTACCGGCCACAAATGTCCGAGAAATTTTCATAGAAAATATTCGTTCTTTGATGGCCCAGAGGCAAGGCACGGAACCGTCATTTAACTGACGTGCCTTACCTCTGGGCAGGTTAAGGTTTTCATTGTATTTCTATTTTTTGGCCCAGGGGTATTTCCAGTGAATATTTTCATTATGAACTCTCGCTCCCGGACATTCAGGCCTGTAAATGTTATTTAATACTGTTTATCATAAACAGAGCATTTGCTTAAATATTGTATCTATAAAATAACAACGTTAAACATAAAAATGTCTTTAATAAATCGGACCGGACCTTGTCCATTTCTTAATATATATATATATATATATATATATATATATATGTGTGTGTGTGTGTGATAAAAAATGAAAATAATAATATTAAAATACAAATAGACACAGGCACACACATATGTATAATGATATAATAATAAGGGGGTGGTAGCAATTAGCAAAATCATTCTGCTTCCACATTTTTCAATAGATATTTATTATGTCTATATGTGATCATTAATTAATTTCTTGTTTTTATCTTTACACATTCAGTTAAGAATAAAAATCATCCTTGATAATGGTTAAAAGAATAGCTGAAAGCACTTGGAGATGTAGAACATTCAGACAGTTTTTATACACTTTATATATAGAAAAGAGAACACTTATACAAACACAAGAATAATTGAATAAAAAGCTTACTCACAGACAGTCCTCTTTAATGAAATGTGTGTGTGAGTGTGTATGTTTATTTATTTATATATATATATATATATATATATATAAAATGATTGATTTTAAATCCACTATTTTTATTACTTCAAATATTTATTGTAGTCGATACTCCATATTTGAAATAGAGAATCCATTTTTAGCTCAGAGAAAACCACCATTTGATTCATTGTGTTTTACAGGGATTTCCCCTACAAAGGAGGATGCAGGTTCAATCCCTGCTGGGGAATGCATTTTTCTTTACTATGATTTCTTGGTAAGCTAATAAATTTAGTACATACAGTTGAATAAATAAAAATGAAATGTCTATTTCAAATACAGAGTTTGTATGTAACAACATTTGGAATAATATATATATATATATATATATATATATATATATTATGGCCAGCATTTAAGCTAGCTGCTACAGAGGGATCTTGATTTGCCCTTCATCACAATAGGTAGTGTTGAGTAGATATGAAATGCAACAATAAACTACAGAAGAACTCAAAACTGATTGCTGCATTTAAGCATTGCATTAATATTTCAGCTTACGTTTTAAAAGTTCAACGATCGTTCTTCTACTGCCACTTAATTTAAATACAATTTGATGTATGTAGGTCCTTACTTTCTGTACAAACAATTATTTTTATTTCATAAGTGACTTTCACTGGATTTCACAATTAATTTAGATTATTCCCAAATTTATTTCTAAATTATAAAAATTGTTATCATACATAAAAATTTGTCAAAAAAAAATCAAGTAAAAAACTTGCCAAAAACGTTCACAGTAATGAAAACTTGGGAATCCTCCAAAATTTCAGGATTGAAGGGCCAAATCCAACCCAAACGGTTTTTAATTTGCTCACGGACTTTGCCTGATTCCAAAATGGTATGATATGTTGGGTTACGTCCTCTAAAAGTAAAGTGGAAAAGGTGTGACACACTGACATTCCTATTGATGAAATATATTTCAAGCACACAAAGATCTTGCTTTCAAGAATAACATTTAAAATTTTGTTGAAAAACTTCTATGTAGC